GGCAGTAGCCCCGTGCATCAGAGCGCATGCTTCTGGCCATCTGTGGTGTAAATGCACCTGCTCTTTCAACCCAGCCAGGTAGTGTCACTGCCGTGACCTACAGAGAGGCCTGGAGCCCAGATCTGGGAGCTGGTCTTATATGGGGACCTGGGTCCCCAGGTGTTGGCTGCGCTGACAAAGGGTCCTCTGGTGAGGGGCAGGCCAGAGGCAGACTCTACCGGCAATGGAGTCGACAAAGTAGTGGAACTTCCTCTTGAACACGTCCAGGGTGTGGCCCAGGACCTGGCGGTAGTCGGCCTTGCCCTGGGCGATCAGGTTCAGCTGCTTCTCCACTGCACTGCGGATGGTGGGGAGCACCAGCTCTGCATCTGTGAGTGGGCAGGGGGCAGATGCTGCCCTGAGCACTCACACCCAGAGCTATGCCACCCCATCCCAGGCGGGGCTACTGCCCTGCCCACCCCTCCTGCTCCGGCCCGTCCTCCTGGCCTCTGCCCTGCCCACCAATCCACAGCCGCAGATGGTACCAGGCTGGCTTCTATGCCCCCAGACCTTTCCTGACTTCTCACCTGGAAATCTCAGGCAGAGTGGCCGGTGGCTAGAAGCACATCACAGATGAGCTCCAGACCGCCCTTGGGCCAGTTCTGTGCTCCTCCCTCTCCCCTTGGCCTCTGGGAAACCTCCAGAGGATGGAGCTGAGGCACCTTCACCTCCCTTTTTGGTTCCCTCACACATGTCCGTTCAGCATTCAAACACACCCAGCTCCTGCTCTGGGCAGGTCCTGGGGGTCCTGGGATAGCGCCCCTTCAGTGGTATTGAGGGGGTGCATGTGGGGCTGGGGGATCACTGCAGGTCAGGGCCTGTCTGGAGGCGGCGGCAGAACCAATGCCCAGGGAGAAGCTAGGGATCCCCGGTGAACCCTGGGGGCAGGGCCGAGGGACTCACCAATCTTGTAGTAGCCGTGCACCAGGACGATGCCGAGGTTGGTGGGTTTGAGCCGGCGCCCGGTCTCCACAGTGACATAGTGGCGCTGGCAGATGTTGTTGATATGCACAGGGATGCTGGCATCTGTGCCTGCAACGTACAAGGCC